CAGTCCAACACCTCTGAAAGGCAGCATGAAATAGTGGGAAGAGCACGAGGTTTGGAATCAGACTGAACTTAGATTTAAATCCTATCTCTGTAGCTTGTTAACTCTGACCAAAGGTACTAATGGCAAGCTAACCTCACAAAGTATCAGCTTCCTCATCTAAAAAAAGTAAGTAATATTGGCCTCCTGGGTCTGATACAAACTTTGTTTTGTGAATACTTATAATAATAAGAGCAATATTTATGTGACGTTTGTTGGATACCAGGCTGCTCTAAATATGTACTTCATATGAATTTACCCTTAATCTTCTGAGCAACTCTAGGAGGGATTTAATTATATTATCTCCATTTACAAATGAGAAATACGGGGTGTGAAAAAGTTAAGTAAGTCACTCCAGTTCATACAGCTAGTAAACAGCTGAGCTGCATTTTCAACCCAAGCAGTCTTTGCTCTAAATCATTACATTACAATAACATTATTTCTCCTCCAACCACCCTACATCCAATTCATTTTATCAAAACACTGAAAGCGTTTACTTTTAACGAAAGAGAAAACTGATCAGTTACCAAGTTACAGTCACAAGAACTATATTGGCAGAGGTTACTTACTGCAATCGACATTAAGTCAGCAATAAAAATGGTGAGTAGTTACTGCACCAACTAGTTCTCCAAGATACTAAGCACGTTAAACATATTCTAATCCTCTAAACGACTATATGACTTATAGTTGTTTCAAAAAAACCTCCAAGGGAATCTTAATCCTAAGAAGGCTGACTAATTCTTCACACTTTTATTATCAATTAAAGGCTTCTAAATGCACACTCCAAATCACAGTGAGACAAAAAAGTACATACAAATTGACTTGTAAGCAAAAAATATTACTTATAAAAGACAAACAACAAAAAGCTCCATGCCAGCTAAAAATTTTGGAGTCTGTGCACTTTAAAGAGGGTTCCAATTTCAAACTATTTCAGGGATCCCTGATACTAAGAAAATACTGTGAGTAATAAGCCCCAAAGGTCATCTTCTCTGTCCTCCTTACTAGCACTTTCCTGACAACATAATCTCATGATAGTGTTACTCCCATTCTGTCTTTAAATGTTTAAGTTTTTGGAGAAGATAAAGCAACTCTCTGACAGAGACCTTTAAAGCAGCGAAAACGTTAATGAATACCCTTTCACAACTCATGTACTCCCTGATTATTCTGAGAGGATATGAACTCTGTAAGGGTATTATAAAACTGTGCTTTCTCCAATACTTAGCAAGTAACGGACGCTTACTAAGACAGCAAACCTTTGTTTGGTATAATTCATCAGTAAGTCAATTAACCTGGAGTTCTCATTTCTATTTGTTCTCTAACCTACTGTGGGAAGTCTTTTTTCTTACCCTTTATCTTCCCCTCGTTGTAGCTCTGGGAGCTCTACAACAACTGGAACACCACCCACAACCCCTTTCATAGTATTAGAACTTGTTTAAACTGAAATAGTCACAACCTCATTTATATTTAACTTATTATGACAAAGGAGACTATGCTATTTATCATCCTTCTCCTTTAACTCATCTACTCGTTCTCTGTCTCCCTGCCTACAGCACTACCTGAATCCCAGCCACAGGAACAAGTAGCAGCATTTCGGCAGCAAACATGGTACAGATCTCCGACTAGTGTGATGCCTCATCACACTAATTCAACTACTACAATTTCCAAGAAACGACTAAACGCCAGGCCTCACAAGAGCATAAACATATTTTTACCATTTGATTTAAGCTAAAAGTGGGCCTTGCCGATTAGGGCTAAAAAAGGTTTACGTTTTTCAGACAACTAAAATTAGATCGTTTTGGCATGCAAAAGACATTACGTGCCAAATAAAGCAATCAATCTAACACCAAAAGCCACCAGCAGGCGGGCCTTGTGTATAGTAATCTTTCTTCATTTTTTAGTAGGACTGCACTGCAAGGGTCGTTTTTTAGTAGGGACCACACTGCATTATCACAGTGACTACCAGAGCACCAAGATATGGTGAAGAGATGTCAGGGAGCAGACTGTCATCAACATCCCTAATTTGTAAATGATGAGACAGAAAACAGAAACAACCTGTTCCAAGCCAAAAAAAGAGAAATAGATGGCAAAAAAAAAAAAATGTTGATATCTGGAATCAGTTGTTTCCCACTACTCCAGAGGCATGAACCACACGTAGGGCACAGGTGTTTCCAGAGAGATCTGTGGAGGTGAGAAGACAAATACATGACAGAGACATCACTGGTCTTCTCCAACTCACTTTCTCCCTCTCTTTAGGTTCCCTTTTTTAATCCCATGCCATTCCCTAAGCTCAAACTTCAACCCAAAGAGCCAGTCAATGGAAAAACTATCTTGAGGAGTTTATACTAAGTAGATAGAGAAAATCATTTTGGAAGGAGAAAAGGTGTGCCACTGTGATCATATTTTGTGATCTATGACTTGATATCCTTGTTGGTTGTAGTGAATAAGCCAACACATGTCTGGACCACAACCCTGTGACAGGTTAAAGAGGTAAGATAAACATGTATCTGCCAATATCAGTCCATTGATATTCTAACCACAGTTCCCAAAGGTGATAAATATAAATCCTAGAGTTGGAACAATGCCCTCTGGCATCCAAAAGGAAGGTTCTCGGGCATCAAAATTTTTCTTAATCTGGCTAAAACACTATTTCTCCATGCCGCTCCCCACCCTCTCCCCACAAAATTCTTTTTTTCTTTTCTTTGTATAGTGTTTTCCTGCCCAGCAAACTAACCGATTCTTTCATTCTCATAAATGATGGCACAAGATAATTTAAATGCAATTAAAAAAAAAAGATGAAATCTAAGCCAAGATTAATCATAGCTCAGTGACTTGTTAAAAACAAGGCTTTCATTGAATGTGGCCACTGAAGTCGCTAACTTTGTTCCCAGAGAGTCTACACTTTAAGAGTTCTGAAATGACATCCGTCTAAGAGAACAGCTACCTCTTAGGCACATAATCATCCATGCCAACATCTAGTCCACGGGTGGCAGGCACTTAATTTTAATATCCTGAAATGTAAATGATGTTACAAGATTATACTTTAATTATTGAGAACAACCTATCATTACCTAAAGGGAGAAAATAAACAGATCTATTTTCTTTCATAGAAAAAGTTAATATTCATGAAAACCTAAACCCTGCTACATAGTCACCTTCTAAATTATAAACATTTCACTTACAACTACTTTTTCTTCAGTGCCCACCACTTTTTTTCCACGCATGACTTACTTTGTGACTTATGGCAACCTTTGAAGGGCAACTAAGCTGTCCTGGGACAACAGTGTCCCCTGATGGTCACCATGTCAAATTGTCTGTCCCAGGGTTTTTTCCTCTGTGGAAATTCTGCACACTTCTTTTATCACCACATCACAGTTCAGATGCCTTTAGCACTCACTATACGTTAATCATCTATGAATCTCCTACCTCCTCGAACTCAATGATTCTTACGGTGGGAGGCATAACAAAAAGAGATACGAGGGTCAAGGAAACATTTGGAAATTGAATAGGTCAGAAACAACTTTTCAAAATATAAATGCCCCTCTGCTGAGATTTAGATATATCCCTCTGATCCCGTCCCTTGAAGCCACAGTGGGTTAAGAGAATTAGATATTACTGAAAGAAGTGTCCTTGAAAATGCAAAATTAGGACACTTTAGACAGCTCTTGGACAATGCTCCTTTTATTCTCCTCCCTTATCTTCTCCAATAATAAGGTTCGCTTGGGTAGCATGATATCCCTGCAGTTGTACTAAGAGTATGGTAAATGAGTCTTTGGCCTTCCTTTTCACCACCCAACTCTGTCCTGCATGCTATGGCAGACAAACCACTTACACCTATATGCCACCTCCCTCACAAAAGGTTCATTTTCTTATTACATTATTTTGTGTTTACAAAAGATACCGTGGATGAAAACGTAGTCCCTTGGCAGCTGGATTCCCAGCTGGAGTGTAAACAAGGTCTCCCTCTGGAAGTCAGGCAGGTTTAGAAAAATCTGATAGACTCAAGAATTTAGGTCTACCTGGCATCTGTTTATAGGAGAAACTCAGGTGTCTCTGGTACTTACCCTAAAGGAAAAGAAAGACACATAGACAAATGTGTCCCAGTCTCTGACACCTGATTCTGAGGGCGAAGAGATTCTGTGTTCTGTATGGAGTCAGCCACTAAAATGTGTTCTTCCCCACCACCACCCTCTAGCACTCCATGGCTTCCTAACTGGGTAATAAGGAAAAAGGATTCCAAAAAGAATTGAAGGAGAGTACTTCTCACTAAAGACGTCTGTAAGACATTAGGGGAAAAAATATTCTTCCTATGGTGTCTACTTTACGTGGGATACAATGTAGTGCTTACACAACAGGAACTTCAGATAGTATGACAGTACAGCTCAGGTATGGTACCTTCAGGCTGCATGACTGGGTGCAGTCTACAACAGTACTTGTTGGCTATGTTAGAGCATCCAAAAACAGCCCCTCTGCCACAAATACAAATGTCTTCATGATGGACACTCTCCTGGCCCCAAGCAGGGGGCAGAGACCTCCGCAGATGACTTGCTTCCCTGAAAAAGCCAGGAAGAGACCTCTGAGTCGCAGAGTCTATTTTGAGTACCTGTCAGGACCTCCCAGAAATAACAGTGTACGACTTTGAGAGAAAAGATCTCGCAATTTCAGCTGAGCGTAAGAGTCAAAGAAATATGGTTTACACAAAACTAGTAGCATAGGAAGCTTTGGAAAAGTTTCCCTGGAATGTAGACATTTTTGTTAGAATGTTTTTCTATCTCCAAGTAAATAGCATGCGGGTAATTTCCACTCAAATGTCTTAAGGAGTGATCAAATTAAATCACTTAAAGACGAAGTCTTGGCTTCAATTTGCCATATTCTCCAAGTTTCTCTTCAGTACAGTATGAAGCATTTACATCTTTACTCTCCCCTCTTTCACTGTCTCTCACCACAGAAATATATAGTTAATATACCGAGTATATTAGCAGTGCACTGAAGAATTCCTGAGACGTCTTCAATCTCCTCTTTGTTGGAGTGGTCTGCATAGGAACATCTGTTAGAGATATTGTGGAAATTCTTTTCTGCATCCCTGTAACTAAGAAGAAAATAAAATTAGCATAAGGAGAAGTTTCTGAAAGCATGTGTGAATGCACTCACACACACACGCACAAGCACACACAGTCTATGCGTTCGGCATAATCACATTCTAAAATAACTGAAGTTTAAGACACAATTCTGGCGTGACCCACCATTCACATCAGCATTTGTGGTGTAGACCTGGACTGGAAGCAACTGTTAATAAGAAAGGGATGTGTGAAAAAAATTAAGCCGAAGCACCCAAAATATACCAGCTTTGTATCAAGAATGTATCTCTCTCGGAGGGCTTTGTCACAGCTGGTAATCTGAGTTGGCTAGAAAAAAAGTTAACAGATCTAAATTTGGTGCAACGTCATTCAATTGTGTTAAAAGTACACAGTTACACCATAACCTCTATCACAGTCAAGAAGATAGCAATATCGTGTATGGATACTGCATAATGAATAAAGTATTTGGAACCTGGCAGAATATGAGTCTCCATCTTAACATTTCCCATTCGTGAGATCTTGGACAAGCAACCTCATTTCTGTTAGTCTAACTTTCCTCCCTCATGAAATGGGTTACCTCCTAGAATGCTTCTGAGAACCAACAGGCATAATGCCTATGTAGCTGGATATTGGCTGGGACTTTTCAAGTTGCCTGCGAATAAGTGATAAGGTACCAAAGCCGAGGATGATAGGGGCCCAGTGCTCCCACATTCCAAAAAGTAGCCAAGAAGGCCAGAGTTCTCCCTCTGGACTTATGCAGTGACTAAACAGCAACTGCCCCTGTCACCCCACCATGGGCTTACAGAAGGAAAGGAAATGAAAGAATTACAGGAAAATCCTCAGAAGAGTAAGAAGCTGGCTCAGAAAGAGAGTGCCACTGTAATGTCCTTCTCCCCTTGTAGAAAAGGAGAGAAGACGAGTGTTCCCTGCAGAAGCCCAGTTGGTGAGAGGGGTCCACAACTGGTGGAGACTGGGGTTTGGGTACCTCATTCCCCAGTGAACATCTGTAGAGGCTGCAGATATCCTGATCATCCCCCCATGACTGACTGAATAGAGGAAGAAGATTCTGGAGAGAGTTACTGACAAGGAAAAGAAATAGAGCGAAATGCTGAACAAGCTGCAGCCCCTCCCATTTGGCAAGGCAGAAATATGAGTTTTCCATGGGTGAGGGAGATGGCCCCAAAGGGAGGCGAGCCTGAGTTATCCAGTTGTTGTGCTGCTTTCCCAATCTAGAGGCAGGGACAGAGGTCCCCAGGGCAAGACAGCATGAGTGCAGCCCTTGGGCACCGGAACCGGTCATCAGAAGCAGGTACCCAGGCATTCATCTCACAGAGGGCATCGCAGCAAGAGGACTGCAATGACCACCAGTGAACTCAAAAAGTCTTCTGCCATTTTCCATTTCATTCCTGCCTGACAGAATACATCAGAAGAGAAAGGACCTGGAGAAAAGTGGCCTGGAGAGAAGGAATGGAAACTCCCATCATGTCCTGTCTGCATCGCATTCCAAGTTCCTCAGGAAAGGGCCCGACCCAGGCAGAGAGAGGAACATAAGTGTTAGACTGGGTGTGTGGGTGAAGATTTAGATCAGTCTGGAGTGAACTTTATAACCCCTGGAAGTACATGGGAAACAGAGCAGTCTGTCCAAGCTTATATCAAAGGGGGCTCATCCTAGTATGTTTGGCATGATTGAAGAGAAAAAAGAAACTGGTTTCATGTTTGTACACCTCACTGGGATCAGATGCCAATAATTCCATTAAAAAAACTGTAGTGCAAAATGCTTACTACAGTTTCTTGAACAGAAATCACTCAGTAAGAGGTGGAATACGGAGGATAGGCGTTAAATGCAGGCAAACACGGGGTTATTTTAAAATCAAGTTTCCATCATGTTTACCAGAGGAACCTTAGACAAAATGTTTATTCTCTCAGCCTGAACTTCTCCATCTGTAAAATGAGCTTAATACAATGATATTATGAAGTAAATGATTAGTACAAAATAAAATAACAGATGTAAAGTACCCAGCATATTGCCTCAAGCAGGGTAAGCAATCAATAGATATTAGCTTTTGTCTAATCTGTTTGTTTTTTATGCTCAAAAAAATATAATTTTTCTATGTAAATATATGTAAAAACAACCTAGATCGTTTTTAGATAAAATGATTGAAGCCACAAGATCTGACCATGAAAGCGTAAGTAATATCCTTGAAATTTGTTTCCCAGAATAATCAGAGTTCACCCACACTTAATTTCACTTCTGATGTTCTATTAGAATTATTCTGGCTTAATCTCTCTTCAATTGTCAAAAGAAAAAGAGAACAGAAGGTTGGCTGTGTAAAACAAACATAGGACCCACATTGATAATTGGAGCAATCGAATTTAATTTTAGATTACTATAAGAAATGGTATTACCAACTAGCATGAGTTTGGCAGCAGTCCTGCCCGTGATATTTACACAACAATGCTTATTCTGGGGAGGAAAATAAACCAACTATGAAATGAATGGCATAGTTCTGAACATATATTTCTTCATGCTTTAAAAAGCATATAATGAATGAACACTATATTTCAGAGAGATGACCATGTGTTTTCCATGACAGTTCACTCAAGAAATCTCTACTTTGACAACATGGCCACAGCAAACCATTTTTATGAGCCATGGACCAGTACGAGACATGTAGCACAAACATAAGTAACAGCAATTGGGGCCAAGTGGTCTACAAAAACTTAGGTCACAACAATCCAAGGCAAAATAAACTCTCTGTAAGAAGATAACTGTAGCTAGGACATGAACTAGGCATGTCTTTTAAAGGCCCAGGATGGACAGGGAAAGAAAACAGAAAGAGGGTAAAGAAAGGACAATCAACAAAAACTGAAGTGCAAAAGGGTCAGATAGCAACAGTGATAATAGTAATTCAATTAATATATTCATGACCATTGTGTGTCAGGCAGTGTACTATTTTATGTGAGTATATAACTGAATACCCCACTGTCATTCGTGTTTCCCTTAAATTTCACCCCAACCCTGTTATCATTCCCATTTTTAAAATGAGGAAACTTTAGCTCAGAGGTTTTAAGTAACCTGCTCAAGACTGTTCATAACAAAACCTCATTTTATGATTAGGAAGCCTTTTATGCCTATCTCCAAAGTACAATCTCTCCACAACAAAGACACACAGAGAGAAGAAATGGCATGTCATAATGGCAAGAATGACATCAGAGGAAAATGTCATCAGAAACACATATTTCTCCATCCTGAGTTCTTTATAATTCCTAATGTGAACCTGCCTGTCTCCGACTGACCCCTTCTGCTTCTCACTACTCTATGCACCTTACGTTGCCCAGAAAGCAAGTCCATTTCCTAGAAGCTTGAGTTAAAGAGCAGCTAACAAAGATGCACACTCAATGCTCCCTCCCTCGTTCTAAGTTGAGAGAGAAGGATTGTGCTACATGAACAAGAAGCTCCCCAGTGAGTATGAATGCACAGAATTTATGTAGAAATCAAAAGTTACCACAAAGTCAATCTGACACACAGTGCCAAACACTAAGCATAAGGAAAACTATGCAAATATATGAGTGTAACTGATGCCATAAATAAAGGAGTCTTGAATACTAGAAATATAAATTTTAGAACTGACGCTTAGGAGGCTAAGGCAGGAGGATCACTTGAGGCCAAAAGTTCAAGATCAGCCTGGGCAACATAGCAAGACCCCATTTCTAAATTTTTTTTTTTTAAATCGGGCATACCTCATCAACAAGGGTACCTGCATAATCAATATTTGTATACCTAACTCTGAATTGTACCCCACATCTTTATAACAAAAAAAAAGTTAACAAATTACCTGGGCATGGTGGCGTATACCTGTAGTCCTAGCCACTTGGGAGGCTGAGGTGGGAGGATTACTTAAGACCAGGAGTTCAAAACTACAGTAAGCTATGATTGCACCATGGCACTCCAACCTGGGCAACAAAAACCCTGGATCTAAAAACATATAACTAAATAAATAATTTTGGAATTGTAATTGGCTCTGGAAATTATTTCAGTCTCTCATTTTTACTCCATCTCAGGCATAATTGACTCTTTTACCACCATGCCCCTGAAAAAAAATCTGCTTACATACCTCTAGGGTGCAATTTATTCACCCTCTGCAAAAAAAAAAAGTTAGTCTCGCCTATGTACCAAGCACTTATAAAGGCACAGAAATATAGACACAAACCAGATAAACAAGAATATAAACAAGGTAATGTCAGCTAATGATAGGCACCCTGCAGAGAAATGATTGAGGGGCTCACAAGGGAAAACGCCTGGGGTTGGAGATCGAGGTGGGGGATGAAGGTCGATTTAGGATGGATGGTCAGGGCAGGCTTTTCTGGCGAGACGACATTTGAACAGAGGCCTGCATGTGTAGAAAGAATAAGCCATGAAAACATCTGGGGAAAGAGCATTCCAAGAAAACGGAGAGACACATACACAGGCTCTGAGGTTAAGCTTGGTACCCTTAAGAAACCAACAGAAAGTCGGAGTGGAGTCAACTGGGTGGAAGATGAAATTAGTGACGCAAGCAGAGGCCAGATCCCAGAGAGAATGTAGATTTTATTCGACTATAACAAGCCATTATACAGCTTGAAGCAGGGGTTTTGAAGTCTGATCCCTGGACCAGCAGCAGTTGCGCTACCTGGGAACCCACCCAGAACTACTGAATCGGAACCTCTGAGAGTGGGCCCACCAATCTGTGTTTCAACAAGTCTGGGAGGTGTTTCCAAGGCCCATTAACATTTGAGAACCATTGATTTCATGTAAGAAAGTGGCATGATCTAATTGTGTAATTACTTTGCTGTGGTGGGAATACAATGTTAGAGGACAGGAGTAGAACTAGAAAACTAGATCAGAATTTCTCAGAGAGGGATTGATGACAGAGATGAAGAGAAGATTTATCACGCTGCATGAATAAATTATTTTGACACTCATTTTCCCAGCTTGAATAATCTCTATGAATAAATAAATGAGCAAGTGAATGGACAGATTAAGGAAATGAATAGACGTTTAAAGATAAAGTGGATGAGGTACAGAGAGGCTATCTTATTCCCTAACAAGGAGTCACATCAGCTACTCTCTCCCAGTCCTTCCATCAGTGACCCTTGGAACAGCTGTTCTCTGCATCCAAGTCTCAGTCCTGAGAGATGAAAAAGACTCAGGGAGTTTCTATGGGCAACTGGTTTAAGCATTCAAGGGGCAGAACCATACACTCCTGGAGCTCTGGTTTAAAAAAGGCAGATAGATTAAGAACAGAGTTTTAAAAGAGAGGAAAGGAAGGTCGATGGCCAGAGGCTAAATTAAGAAATTAAAAAGAGAACGGCCAGCTCATACTGTTACCTGCCCTGACTCATCACCTCAGCCCGAGACACCTAAAAGCTAAGTGACTTCAAGACAAGCCTCAGGCAAGCTCAATTCTCGAGGCTAGGAAAAGCTTCTCCCTCCTTCCCTTACCTCCCCCAAAATCTGAAAAATGCTTGTCAGCACTTACTCTCAATTATCAATAAAGAGATTCTGAAAACCCTTTAGTGACAAGAAATATATTCCTTTACACGGATAGAGATAAGATGCCATAAATGTTTCCTTCAAAGAAACAACATATAGGTGTGAATATTTTTTAGTCCAAGTGCTAGTGATGCTTCCTGCTCTCCTGTTTCAATTTTGAAGAGAGATAAAAAGCAGAAAGATGGAGTCCAAAAGGCAAAAGAGGGAGTCAGGGAAGCCATCAACGAGGAGAAAGGGAAGACAGCATCAAGAAAGGCAACTGTGGCAAAAGTGCTGCCAGTGGGTCCTTTTTGCCTTTGCCAACGTGAGTGCAGACAAAGGCAGTGAGCAAAGGTGCTCAAGTCTGAGAAGTCAGCCAACAACCAGGCAGAAATATGCTAAGGTCTATTTGGATAGTCAGACATCAAGACACCTCTTTAGAGTGGAGTCAAATTCTCTGGGGTTTTTTCTGAGTTGGAGTCGCACTTCATCGCCCAGGCTAGAGTGCAGTGGCGCACACACGGCCACCCCACCGTTGACCTGTCGGGCTCCAGCGAACCTTCCGCTTCAGCCTTCCAAGTAGCCAGAACTATAGGTGCATGCTACCACACCCAGCTAATTTTCCAACTTATTGTAGAGATGAGGCCTCACCAAGTTGCCCAGACTGGTCTCGAACCCACAGACTCAGGTAATCCACTAGCCTTGGCCTCCCAAAATGCTGGAATTACAGGCTTGAGCCACCGTGCCCGGTCCTCTGTTTTCTTTATACCATGTCTACAATAAACAGACCTCGAAAAAGACCATTCAACCAGTGAACAGTGACTCACTCAGGCCATGTCTAATAGACAGAAAAGGTGAGGCAGCCAGTTGGATAAAAAAGAACTCCATTGTGCTCAGGGAAAAAAAAAGTTTCTTCTGATGATAGCAATACAGTTTAGCTGTCTACTTTGATTGCATTATGAGAATACCACTCCAATTTGTCTTGAAGGCACAGTTTAGTTCAGGAGTGAGACTATTTCATCAGTTATTATTGGATTTCAAAAAGGAAAGAGCATTCATAATTCCAGAAAATGATTTGAGTTTGATGACTGTTATTGTCATAAACTAATAATAATAATAACAATGATAAGCATAAGAGCAAACAGGTATTGAGTGCTCAACACATAGAACTATTCTAAGTATATTCGCGCTTTTAAGCCAAACACCATATTTTAAAGTAGCAAATTCATGAGCATGATTAAGTTTTATTTTAGAATGTGTGGGGAAAGATTAATTTGACATTCTTTATCTCCATTAGGATAAACCGTTTAAAATCACTAATGGCCTCAAACTAAAAGCCATCTCATGAGTTTAAATAATATGTTTTTCCTAGTGCTGCACTCTTGAGGAATAGTATGACAAAGTTTCAAAGCAATTCCCTTTGAAATGACAATTAACATAATCATCAAGCACTTAAAGTATATGGCATTGTACTAGGTGCTGAGATTATTTTTCCATTAAGTTTTCTTCCATTTTGTTTTGTTAAAAAAAAAAATCACACTAAACCCTAATAGCCAAAAATATGTTCTTGATCCCCATGGCAATGACTATTAGCCATAAATGTTAAATGATTCCTGACAGTTTTTCAAGAAATACTGAGGTTTAAATCTTTACTCCTCAAAAGCTCTTAAAATCTTAGAAAGATAAATCACCGTAGCATCTACATAATATGAACGACGTAAATTAAAAACATATATGTTCTCACTCATAAGTGGACCTTGAACAATTTTCAAAATACTATAAGAAAGGGATTGGCAGTCGTGGGAAACTGCCAGGGGAGGAAGGGGAAGGCACGCCTCATCAACAAGGGTACCTGCACAATGACAATTTGTATACCTGAATTGAACTCTACATTTTTAAAATAAAATATGTATATATATATATATATATATATATATATTGCCTCCAATGTCAATGAACTTAATTTGAAAAGCTAGATTGCATGACAAAGTCGATGTAAGCTTTTCTATTTGGCAACTGCTTTCCGTCATCACCAATTAAAGGTAGCATCTACTCCCTTGGAGCTTTCGGTTTACAAAATACATTCATTGAAATTATCTCTTCTAATCATGACATCTAACCTTTGATTTGGTTATTCTTATTATCACTGCATTTTACAAAAGAGATAAAGTAATTTTTTTTTTTTTTTTAGTTGGAGTCTCACTCCGTCACCCAGTCTGGAGTGCAGTGGCACACTCACAGCCACAGCAGCCTCAACCTGCTGGTCTCAGGTGATTCCTGCACCTCAACCTTATAAGTAGCTAGAACTACAGCCAAGCACCACCATGTCTGGCTAATTTTTTATTTTATCTTATTTATTTATTCTTATTGATTTATCTTTATTGTAGAGATGAGGTCTTGCCAAGTTGCCTGGGCTGGTCTTGAACCTGCAGGCTCAGGCAATTCGCTCGCCTCGGCTCCCAAAGTGCTGGGATTACAGGTTGAGCCACTGAGTCTGGCTTTTTTTTTATTTTGTAGAAACAAGGTCTCATCAAGTTGCCCAGACTGGTCTTGAACCCCTGGGCTTGAGCAATCCTCTCGCCTCTGCCTCTCAAAGTGCTGGGGTTACAGGCATGAGCCTCCGCACCCAGCAAGTTACTTATTCTATGTGCTGGTGAGGCCTTGAATTTCTATTATCTACCACATCACATGAGAAATAAGGGATAATAAGGAAAAATAAGTGGCACATGACTCTAGCTACACCAATACCTCTCACTGAACTGTTTTAAGCTTGTAGTAATTTTTATTAAACTCTCCTTAATGATTCTAAAATTTCATTCAAAGCCTCTCAGTTGGTACCAATAAACCTAACTATATTAAAAAGGCACACTTAAGAGATTCAGCATTAGAACGAGAAGGCAAGAACATAAGAAGAAAACAAGGAAAAGCAATACCAAAAAGGAATCCTATCTGAAGTAATTAAATACAAAAAAAGTCAAAGGAGATCACTCTAAGCGTCCACCCTCCCATGAACCTTCACCCCACACTATGAGAACATATCCACTATGAAATAAGGCTGACCCGTGTAGCAGAAAACCACATGCACAACAGCTCTGTTTGAGTAATTACCTTTAATTTTCCCCCAATAATAACCAAAATCCATTTTTACTTACCCGATAACTTGATGCTCATAATACTGCAATGTCCTCTTGAGAGTTTGCTGTATCGTCTGAGGCTACAGAATAATAATAATAAAAAATATATATTATCAGCAAATCAGTGCCATTCCCATTCTGAGCATCGTAGGCAGATAGGTAGCTTCTGATTTATCTCATGAAAGTTTTTCTTTTACAATATTAACCCATTTTGCATCATGCCATGATTTTTTCTCACAGGAACCAATATGAGGCACTCAGCAATTACCCAGAATTTCCCAATTTCAAGTATGATAGTATTTCCTAGCCATATTTTTTTTTCAATTCCTTTGTACCAGCTATCAAGTTCAATAAAATACTCATTGGCTGACTACAATAAACCTTGGCCTTCAGGGTAGTGGAGAGGGAGCACTGCAGAGACATGGGTCATGGTTCTTCCTCACCAGCATGTATAATCTGCATGAGGTAATGACTAACTGAAATGAAAAGGCATATCCTAATATTTTGTTTTATGTTTTAACAAGGCTTTCAGGATGGTCTAGCAAGCAGCAATAAATTGAGTTAAAATAGTCAAGTTTATAATAAAAATATTTTTAAACTTAGATGACCTTTATTTTTTTCTTTCTGTTAGCTTCATATCTGAGGGGACTAATAGAAAGGCTAGGGTGGGATAGGAAGCAGGTGCGCCAGGGCCCTTGCAACATCATTTCAACCAGCAGTCAGCCTGACTTCTTCAATGCCCAAGAGATTTCAAGCAAGGTTTTTTTTTTTTTTTCCTGGAGCCTCCTGGATGAGCCACAGGTGCTTTTGGGGGGTGGGTAGGCGGGGGAGGGGGAATGGGGTCTGCAGCAAATACCTAAGCAGCTCATGACTTAATTTCTTAACCTTCTCTTCCCCTTGATGGCTCAAGACAGAGTTTCTTAATCTCAGACCAAGAAATTATTGTTAGACTTCTTTAGGCAGCAGAGCCTGAACTTGGAGTTTCAGACTTACGGAGCCAAGAATAGGACACCAAGATCCCAAAACATAAGATTTCCTTAGGAAGTTACAATAAGAAGAACCAAGTTCTCAGTGGCAGGAGAGTGGTTTTTTTTTTTTTTTTAGATAACCTGTAATCAATCAAGTAGAAAAAGGCAGTCAATACCTTATCAAAACATTGATCCATTACAACCAAGGATGAATTTTAAGGGAACATGATGAGTATAACATAAACTCTTCAAGATGCAAACCAACAAGTACCTTGGTCATTTCATGGGATGCTGCTAATAAACTACACAAACCTGATTCCTCTAAAAAGGTGATCTGTAGGAAAGATCTAGCACAGTGCTGATACCTAGGAAGCAGTTGATAAATATCAACTTCCAATCTCTAACCCTTCAAAGTGACTGTCTTGAAAATACACCATTTAAAGGAAACCCCAGAGGTCTATGTCAAATTTCATTTGGATTCAATACATGTTCACCTCTTTATAAAAACATCCAGGACAGATGTAACAATCTCCCTACCTAACACTCTTCGAAACTTTAACACCCTCCTTGATAGGTAATGACTACTTTAAAGTTAGAGAAAAACGAGCTTAAATTAAATTAGACACATCCCCTGAGATCTACTCTCCACCACCACCCAAACCTAAAGCCTCAGACAAGGACTGCACATTAGCCAAGCCAATTCACAAAGTAATTTAAGAGGAATCAGCCTATCAGTGTTCAAAGGAAGGAGTACACGGCAACTTTTTTCAGCAGCTATTTTTCATTTATGCCATGTTAAAATGGTGAACAAGATCTCAAACTGGCACAGATGTTTCTACTCATCCAGACTGAACAAAGCAGAGTAAATGAAACGCATCTAGGAAAGAAAAATCATTCCCAAACCAAGAAGTGGAGTGGTTGAGAAATCTAGAGAATGAAGTAAACACAGCAGTCCTAGTGCACACAAAAAGTGGCTTTAACACCCCAACCCATGGCCAGTTGAAACCAAATCATTGTCAGTCACTGGCTTAGAACCTCTGGGATCCAGGTCCCTCTTGCACCAGCCTGGCAGTTTCTGAGCTAAGATAAAATTCCCTTTGGCAACAGGATCAAAAAGCAGCAGATATCCACAGAGGGATTATCCCTCCAGTAACCTCTGGTCACAAAACCTGGAACGGAAAGCAGGAACTAGAGTGCACAGAGCCAGTTAAGATCAGAATGACCTCATTTGTACAAAAGGACATTTTTTTCCTGTAACAGAAATTTCTTTCCCAGTCATTAAAAAGCACATGTTTGTGAAAGAAGTTAAGCCTTTTCAAGAGCTGACTATTTTCTTGTGTGGAGCAATTACTTCTACTCCCAGCAGGAGTTAAATTTATAGTTGCCAAATGCATTAAAAGGAAACGCTCTCTGGGAACACCCAACAAAGCTTCAAGTTGGTAAAGCATTTACACACTTACTATTTCTTGCCAGAACCAGTGGGCACATTCTAATGGCCCTCAAGCTTAGGGGTGGACTGCAGAGTATCTCCTGATCTTCAGCAAGTCAAGACTCACTTCCACACAGACTGTCTCATCACCGTGGGTTCACTCCAGTCTTCAGAGTTTGCCTCATAGCCTCAACTCATGGCCTTATCAATGAGGACGCATTTGCACAATTTCAGTCTCCCTGACCTGAGTAAAAAGCATGAAGTGAAGACCCACAAATAGGCCAAAGCCATTCATTGGGTGACTTCTGCTTTGAGCATGGGAGGGTCCATCTCTTTGGCAAACCCTTACAAAGTGCCCATGTACGCCAGTGATACAAGTCAATGTGGACCAGTGGGAAAAGCTAGGGCTTTGAAGACATGCAGATTTCTATCCTCTTTTTTAAGAACATGGCTCCATGGCCATTCCTGACTGAAAGAGTACCATTCAGCATTCTACACACCAAGATTCCATTTCTCTTATAGATATCTGTCCTTTCCTTCAAGAAGGGGTTCAGAAAGATGATTTAGAAAAGAGGCTTTAAAGTCAAACTGAATTCAAAATCAAGCTCTGTGACTCACTAGCTAGACAACTTCAAGCTCACTGAAATAAGATTTCTTATGTGTACATTATTTTATGGGAATGAATTGCAAAAATGAAAGCAAAGTCTCTGGAGCACGGTGAGTGCATAATCAATGATAGTTGTGGTTATGCTAAGCTGAAAAACATGGTTCCTACCGACAAGAGTTTCATAATCTAGTGGAGGAATACAAGATTTAGGTTAGAAAACCCATCCCACAAGTATAATATTTCAAGATCTTCATCACCTAAAGAAGAGATCATTCAAGCTACCAATACTTCTAATAATGAGAAGTTGACGCCAATTCCATTAGACAGAGGAAAAAACATAAAGATGACAGTCAAATGGAGAAATATTTCCAAAGAAACACTAAAATCAGTTGAGAAAGATGGTGATGCAAGCGGAAGTCTCAAAATGAAGCCTGAGGGCAGCACTGAAGCCAAGCCTGCAAGGGGGAAGGACATTGAAACACCATAGCTAAGGTCAAGACCTCAGGCATTTACTGCACAACTATCAAATGAACAACCCATGAACTTCCTTCCTTGGATACACAGTATATACAACAGCAGAGCTGAGTGACCTAACAGTTGTAGAACCCCGTCCTGAAGGATCCAAGAGACAAAAGTAGAGGTGGAGACAGAATTAACTGTCCCTATCATAAACAGAAAACCAAGAGGGTTGTGATTTTTCTCTGTTTCCCCCCAGCTAAGCTGTATAGATAGTGGTCTTCTATTGCCCTGACCCAACACAAAGAAGCAAGGGATAGGAAACAGCTGGAAAGACGAATCTGTCATCTGTGTCCTGCATGTGTATTTTCTGGGGTTCAAACAGAGGGTACCTAGAAGCTTCCATCATGTGGCAACATGAAGCCATCTTCATCTCTGGTCTCATTAATAGCTTTACTTTACTTGGCTAGCAGTGACTGACCCCCACAGACTAAATGTTATGTTCATGAAAGGTCATGGGATCCAAACAGCCAGCCATGAAACAGTCCCAACAGAGCCAGAGAAATGATCCCTGAAGAGTGGGAGGAAGCAGTTCCCAGAGCTGGCCCTACAGGCTCAGACAGTCCTGCTGAGGCTCCCACACAGTCCCTGCTCTGGATATCCGCGCCAGATGGTGCGGGGATCAGGCAGGAGGCAGAGAGTCAAGATGTGTGTATGTGTGTGTGCAGCGTGAAACACAGTTGTCATCGCACAAAATACATGTTCATCTCAATGTTACAGAGGGAAAGAAGTTGAAGCTCAGGGAGGTTAAGTAAGTACCACAAGATCTCACAGTAAGTGAATAGGACACTGCAAGCCAGGACAGGCTTCCCAGTATCCGTCTTCCTTCCACTAGATGGTTTTGAAGGTCTCTCCCACCTTTCACATTCTGTTATTCTATTCCTTACATGATACACAGTGCACTTAATCATGCAAAAAGACAAGCATAGATAATTTAAAAACAAACAACCAGGCACAGTGGCTCAAGTCTGTAATTCCAGCACTTTGGGAGGCCGAGGTGAGAGGATTGCCTGAGCCCACGGGTTCGAGAACAGCCTGGGCAACTTGGCAAGACTTCATCTCTACAATATATCAAAAAATCAGCCAGGCATGGTGGCACATGCCTGTAGTTCTGGCTACTTAGAAGGCTGAGGTGGAAGGATCGCCTGAGCCCAGAACGTCAACGCTGAGGTGGCCAAGAGCATGCCACTGTACTCTAGCCTGGGGTGATGGAGTGAGACTCCAACTCAAAAACAAAAAAAAAAAATTAAAACAAACTACTCATTTCTGCTTAGTGACACATACCCACAAGATACAGATTTAATGAAAACAACAGGCCTGCCTTTAAAGAAATTTCCATAAACAGTCATACCTGAAGCTAAATGATACTGGTATACATGTAATTACTAATGCTCTAAGCCATTAGTTTTTTAGCTCTGTCTGAACATCAAAAATCATCTGGGGATCTTTTCAAAAAATACCAATGCCTAAGTGCCACCCCTGGATTTTCCAGTTCAACTGGTCCGGGGGGAACCCAGTTGCTTCTAATGAGTAGTCAGGGTTGAAACCTTTTATTTAAGG